CTTTGAATAAATTTAAGTATTAAATCTGGGAAGAATTAATCTAATGCCTTCATTAAGGTATTATTACAATTATAAATATTTATTAGTATAATTATATTTGGTAAAATCATATTATTTCTTAAACTCAAAAAAAAATATGAACACAATTATTTTTCCCAGTATAAAATATTTTTAATAAAAACAAAATTTTAATCTACAGAAGTAAGTGACAACTCTGGGGAAGATAGGGGGAGGTTTGTAAAGTTACAATAAAAACAATTTTATTATTTCATAATCTCAATTTCTATAGAAGGTAAAACTAAATAAGCATAGGAAAACAAATACCTCATTAAACATCTATAGATTTATCCTTTTGTCCAAATTTATTTTTTTATTATATCACAAAGAAATGTCATAAATGCTAGTGTGGTTGTGTTTCTATGCATATCATTTTTCAGGAAAATGTTATTATAACTTGAGTTGTTGAGTAGTATACTTGATTTTCTTGAGATTCTCCTCCCTCCCCCCACAACACACACACACACACACACACACACACACACACATTATGTCACATAATACATTGAATCATAAAGTAACTTAAATATTTCTTTAACTTTTCAGTATTAACTTAATAGTTCTTTTGCACTATTGTAATCCCAAATCTGACATGTGTGCCATACTCAAATGGGGGCCCTACCCTTATATTGTGTATTTGCTGTCTCTCTTATTTGAGTAGCTCAAGAACTTATTCTTACTTGAGGCATTGCATAAATGGTTAATGTCAACTGGTTTATGCTTTTCAAGCTTCTTAATAATTAAGTGATTGGTTAATTACATTTTAATTCTCTTGTTCAAAATCTTTCCTGGGAGTATATTTTGTGTTAGTCCAAACTATCTTTTATGTTGTTGAGATAATTAGGTCAAAGAAAGTAGGAAAACATTCAGGGTTTGAGGTATTCTGATTGTTACTTTGTTACTCTAAGTAGGTATCTCAACTATTTTTATTAGAAAATGGAGGGAGCTTTATATGGCAGTAGTTGAATTTTTATCTCTTAAAGTTCATAGTTTTGGCTTAATGAGCTCTGAATTGGAAAGGAGCATTAATTTAATCTTCCTTTATTTAAAATCCATTTAATGGATTTGGCATATCCTAATAAAGAGGTTACCGTTCTATAAAAGAAAACAGGAAACATCCTATGAAACCAAGCAAGAAACAATCAAAGGAAAAACTCTGAAATTTTTTGTGAAATTAAAATTGGAGTAAAAAGGTAGTTGACTGGACAATCTGATTTGCCTTTTTTTAATTTGCAACACCACTTGACATAATTTAAATTTAAATAATTAATTAAGAAATTCCACTGCAACAGAAAGTTTTAAGACCTTTTATGTAACTTAATACAATGCTATTTGAGACTGCCAGCAAACTCTTAAAACTCCTGGACACTGGCTCTCTGCTCTTCTGGCTTCCCTCCTAGTCATGTCTTGGCTACTGTCCAGAGCTGACAACTTTCACCCAAGAGTGAAGGGAGATTTGTCTAGTATAAGGAGGATTTTTGAGCCATCCTAGATTTTCACATCCAGATGGGCAAGGAGGAGGGCTGGCAGTATCATTGTACATACTTGGGTGATGTCATTGTGCCATGCATGAATATAACCATTAATTTACTCCTACTGGTAAGTCCTGAATGTCCTTAGTCAAATGTTCCTTATTAGAAAGTGTAATGTAACAACTTCAAAGTCAACACAAAAATTACTCAAAGTTTATGTCTAAGTAATGGATGCACAAACACCTTGACTTCTCCATTTCCAACTACGTATACTGCAGACCAAAGAGATTTCACATCTTGGCTAATAACATAAAAACACTTAGAATCTGTTAGGATGAGAATGTGAAAGTTCCAGTTTCAAGACCTCTGCTCAGATTATTATGCTAAAGCTTCCCAAACACCGTGAGTTATATTATAACAATTTATTGTCCATAGTGTATTCTTCCTAAAGTGAATTGTTATTATTATGCTTTTGAGGTTATTTAAAGCTGTTAATTTTAGATTCTTTTTAAGTAAATTTCACCTACCCTTATCTAAAAGACCACTTAGTATTAACACTATGATTTGAAAGGTTTTAAGGTATGATCATACCATATCTTACATATTGATACCATACTCCCTATGAATATACCATACTCCCTATGAATCTCAGAGGTACCAAAGTAACCTGTAACACTAATTTAACTTTCAAAAAAATATGTACATTTACATGCCCAAATATCTTTTATGCTTTGTTCATAACTGGAAGACTGAATGAGTTTGCAGTTAAGATAAAGATTATCTCAGTCAGGAATTTAGATGTTATTATAATTTCCAGTACTTCGTATTCTACATTTTTTCAATATCTGTACAACTTTCACCATCCAGTTTACCACATTACATAAACTATTTTCCAAAACTGCTGTGCAGAAAGCAGTAAGGTCACTGTTAAATATAACTTATTTTGTGGTAATGATTAAAACTTTTTTCTTGCTATAATACTTTATGAAAGCTTTTATAATAGGATTTAGTTTGTAGTTAATAACTGTAGTATAAACCTACAGAACTTAGAAACCCAATAAATGAAATATATGCATGAGTTTCTGAGATTTCTAAATCCAGGCTGTAAACATCTTTTATTTTGGAATTCATTAGTTTTCCTCTACAAAGTGGATAGTTGGGGTTTTTTTTATCTCCCCTAAATTACCTTAAAAAGATCTATAATGTTAACAAATATTATGGGGTGTTAAGTGGTTTATTAGTAAATTTTAGGGTTAAATTGAAGAAAGTATCCCTCTTTGAAATAAATATCATGTTGTCCATTTAAATATACCTGACCTTGCTTATAGAATGCTAGAACACTAATTCCATCCTTAAACCTTACAATTTCTATTATTAAAATAATTGAGAAATCTCTAGTTTATATCACTACAATTCCAAATAGATGAGTTCTAACAAAAACTGATTTTTATCATTTAGATTCAGATATTTAGATACAAAGGCTTAGACTTGTATTTATAGATAAAAGGAAATCTGACCTTTTGATTAAGAAATATTGTCAGTAGCCTTTATAAGTGCTTGTTCATCTGAGGGTCCATGACAGGAGTACTCTTCCCAGTTGAGTTTATCCTAAAAATGAAATGATAAGAGCCTGCTGGTTGTTATCTAAGATTCTTCTTAATGGGAAAACCACATGGTTATTCTTCATCTCCCACTTGTTCTCACCCTCTACAACCAACCCAGCCACACCCCACCCCCACCCCAACATTGTTCAGTACTCAGCACAATGAATCATTTTCAAGTTGACTCATTGTGAACTGTCTCCCAGCTGTTGGAATGTCTGGCAGACATTTTTGTTTGGGTGAAGAATAACTGGCTGAAACCCAACCTGGATGAGTTTGATATAATAGTCTTTGGCTAAAGAAATATTGAGAGGAACTTGTTTATGGCCTCTGAAGCCCCTGTTATTCCTGGAGTAGGACCATTCCCTGTGGCATAGAACTGAAAGTAAGGAATCAATCTGGATTATTTTCTCACCATTGAATGAAAAATTGCCTTGGAAAAAAAACGGGCATTTTCAAATTATGTTTTTCTGTACTCGGTACCCACGTGATTGAGAGTATTAAAGCCAATTAAGGATAATTATTTTTACTGGTTCCTTTTAGGAGCACTGATTCAAAGGCTAAAACATTCTGTATACAACACACATTTCTACTTACAGAGGAGTTTCAAAGACTGCCCTAGGTATGAGTTAAACAGGCATTTCAGCATAATGTTTAGTGACAGAAGCTACTATGTATTTCTGATAGAGTCAGGTAACATTAACGAGCTTTCTTTTATTTTTCATTCTGCAGTCTTTACAAGGGAACCTAAGAAACCGAGGAATACCAGTAAGCTCAGTAGTCAATCATGTTTTCAGAAAGTGAACATACTTGATTATGTTTGGACTTTCCTCTAACGGGACATAATGTTGGACTGAAATTTTCCTGTTTTATATTTCCCATCCTTTTCTAAAGATTATTTTTAAACAGGTAGACATTACCATTGTATAAAATGGGAGTTTCAAAATTATAAAATTTTACAAACAACAATTTTTCAACTTATCTAGAGCTTCAGAGCAAAAGTTTTTTTCTAAGATATTATCGAATTAGACCTACCACTATGTCACAGGCTAAAAGGAATACTGAATTTCTGTTAAATAAAATAATTCAAGAGAACCTATAGGGTATTTGATAATTATATTTTTAATTATTTTTTATAGCCATGAAATTCTGGGTGTTTTAGAATGTTTGCTACTTAAAATGTGACTTCTTTTTTACAATATATTATTTAGCAATATTTTTGGTTCATGTCTGGTTGTGTTGGGAAGGAAAAGGTAGGCTACTAGTCTAGTGCTAGTCATCTACCGCCTTTTCTTTGCCTTTATTGTTATCCCAGAGCCAAATAGCAGCATCTGGAAGTAGAGAATAGAAGACTCCAGAGGTGGCCATGTTGCAACCTCTTAGCTAGACCCTTCCGTGTTTCTAAAATGCTACAGAGGACCTCAGCTGTGACAGAGCTGGAACGTGGTCCCACTTGACAGATGATAATGGGACCTTGCCTTACACATTATACCATAATATCTACTGCTTCTGAATCCTGATGTCTATGAGATTTAACAATGGGCAATGGGTAAAGTAATTTGAAATGTAATAGTGTATAAGGATAAAGGTAGGCTTGCCCCTTAAGACAGAAGAAAAATAATTTATATTCTCTACCAAAACTAAGATATGTCTCCTCAGCTCTTCCAAATAGAAAAGCATACCAACATAGGCTGGAATTTTCAATTAAGTGCATACTTTCATCCATTTTCAGCATGTGGTAGCCTTAACTTTTAAGTTATTTCTCTGCATTGATATTTATTTCCTCTATAATTTGTCATTGAGATGGCATAATGGCACTGAATAGATATTATATTTTTAAACATGAGTGTTTTGTTTTCTTGTTTTGCAGAATAAAGCAATTATTTCCCGTGTTACAAACTTGTCAGATACAGTAGTTGGTCTGGAATCATTTATTGGTTCTGAGAGAGAAACCAACCCATTATATAAGGATTATCATGGTAAGCATTGCCTTTATAATGAGAAGAGAATATCCTGATTGCCTCTAGGGTACCTGAAAGCATTGTATCCAGTCATAATATCTACTGTCAAGTAGCATGAATTTTGTTTTATAATATATCTATTAAATGTTTTCCTGGGGTGCCTGGGTGGCTCAGTCAGTTGGGCGTCCGACTTCGGCTCAGGTCGTGATCTCACAGTCCGTGAGTTTGAGACCCGCGTTGGGCTCTGTGCTGATAGCTCAGAGTCTGGAGCCTGTTTCAGATTGTGTCTCCCTCTCTCTCTGACCCTCCCCTGTTCATGCTCTGTCTCTCTCTGTCTCAAAAATAAATAAACGTTAAAAAAAATAAAAAATAAATAAATGTTTTCCATTCGTGACCATTCTTTCATGGCAGCTTGTCACCAAACTACATTAAGACTACAGACTATGGGGGCACCTGTGTGACTCAGTTAAGCGTCTGACTTTGGCTCTGGTCATGATTTCATGGTTCATGATTTCAAGCCTTACATCGGGCTCGCTGCTGTCAGCATGGAGCCTGCTTCAGATCCTCTGTTCCCCTCTCTCTCTGCCCTTCCCCCACTTGCATTCTCCTTCTGTCTCTCTCAAAATAAACTTAAAAAAAAAAAAAAAAAGACTACAGACTATGGTAACTATTTGAAAGGAGTCAAACCCAAATACTTAGGCATGGCTCAGTTAGATATAAATGTTGTTGTCCCAGTGGCTTAAACTTGTCATGAAATCAGTTGTACTTATTAGCCATGTTTGAAATAAATATCATATTAATTCTAATAATAACAGCTTATATAGTGGTTTATGCTTTATAAAGCCTAGCTATATGATAAATAAAATTCATACTGTATTATACTCTATTGTTTTTTTTTCTTTTCTTTTTTTAATGTTTATTTATTTTTGAAAGAGAGAGAGAAAGAGTGCATGAGCAGAGAGGGGCAGAGAGAGAATCCCATGCAGCCTCTGCACTGTTAGCCACCCAGGCACCCCATACTGCATTATATTTTTAAAGTCCTAATCACACTTTCAGAAAGTGAACGTCTTTGATTACATTTGGACTTTGCTCATTTTGTTGAGTTAGGAGCAAATTTTATAATATTGCCATGCCCTAGTATAAACACAGGTCAATTAATCAGATTTTTACTTATTTTTTTTGAAGTTTCTTTTTCTTTTTTTTTTTTTTTTAAGAGAGAGAGCATATGTGCACGTGAGCTGGGGAAGAGCAGAGGGAGAGGGAGAGAGAATCCCAAGCAGTCTCTGTGCCCAGCACAGAGCCCAATGTGGGGTTCAGTCTCACAACCATGAGATCATGACCTGAACTGAAATCAAGAGTCAGATGCTCAATCAACAGAGCCACCTAGGTGCCCCTTATTTGAAGTTTTTAGTAGCATTTTGGTCATTTGATTAATTTGAAGATTTTTTAAATAAAGGTTCTTAAACAGAGCCGTTGAGATAGGAAAAGTTTAATAGTTTTGCATATCTTAGCTCTAAATTAAATATGGAGTATGGTGCATGATGGATTTTTACCTATTTGTGCTGAACACATACTAATTTTTGCTGTTACTATTGTGGACCTACAGTACTTTCATGGAAACCTTTAAAGACTGAATAGCTTATTTGAAGCCACAAGAAAATTGTATAAGATTGTGATTGCAGGACTATGGCAATTCCTAGAGTCGACAAAAAAAAAAGATTATAAGATAATTTATATGATAACTGTCAGTGCTTTGAAGAAGCAACATACAATCTTTAAAAAAAAAACCAATAAAATAGCACAATCTAACAATCAAGTATTATTTAAAGACTAGAAAATATAAGCTATGAACAAAAGCTACACAAAATGATTTGCCTCGTGATTATTAACTTACATAACTTCAAGTATGCTATATGCCCAGATTAACCCTATATATAATTAATATACTATTGTCACTATTATAGGAAGAAGACTAATAAGTTTAAACTATTTCTTTTTTTTGTTATTGAACTCCAGTTGACATACAACATTGTATTAGTTTGAGGTGTACAAAATAATGATGTGATAGATGTAGGTATTGTGAAATGATTGCCACAGTTATGTTTAATTAACATACATCACCTCACATAGTTTACAGTATTTTTTTCCTAGTGATGAGAACTTTTAAGATCTATTGTCTTAGCTACTTTCAAATGTACAATACAGTATCATTAAGCATAGCCACCATGCTACACATTACATCCCTAAGACTTATTTGTCTTATCATTGAATAAACTATTTTTCATTTTTTATTATGCCTATTTTCTTTTAAGACAACCTAAGTTAATTATTACCTTAATAAATTACATCTTAGTATCATTTGTAAGTATTATGACCCAATAAATTTAGTAAAATTATATTTTATATTCCAAGTCAATCATTTTGATTAAAACATTTTGAGAGTGAAAGGCTGTGATTTTTTTTGTGTGTGCTGAAATCTCTGAATTAATAAATGATTAACAGCAGATTCACGAGTGGTTTTGACAAGTAGCGTTTCTGTTAATATGAAGGACCTGATAAACTATATTTATTCATTGTGGGAGGCCTCCTGATTTAACAACTAAACAAGTACATACCAAGTTAAAATAAGGAATGTGCTAGTGAAAGTCTGGTGTGCTTATTTCTAAAGTATTTTACTAAATAGCTCTGAGATCTTTTTAATTTGTATCTAAAAGCTGTCTTCTTAACACTTGTAGCATTTTTTTAAGTTTAATGAATTAAATCAGATAGTTCAGTGAATTATTTTTGAAGGGACCATTTAGAAAGTTAGGCATCTGGAGGTTTAACCCTTTTAAGCTAAAACAAATATATACATTACTAAGCATTCAAACACACAAAAAAACTGTGCACTAGGGAAACGGTTCTTTAAATAAGATGTGTCTAATTTGCTCAGATTTGGGTTTGCCTTCTTCTCCCATGTTTAGGGATCAATATCTTTGGGATGATGATTTTAAATATAGGCTGAATCAGGCAGAGAGATGCACTGAAGAATCTTGCATGTCTTCATCTGTGGCAAATGACCCCGAGTTTAGTCAGAAACTGCATTAAGCTGCACAAAAGCCATCCAGTGCCCTTGTCAGAAAAAATTAGCAAGTGTTTCTACTGACAAGAGGCCAAAGCTCACGGTTTACCTAGCACTGTTACAAAGCTTATAACAGCTACATAAAGGTCTAACATGCCACAGAAATGAGTGTCTTGGGATGGCATAGGGGTTAATGTTTGATCCTAGAGTGAGCTCTGAAATGTAGTTTTCTTCAATGGTTTGCTCAAGTCATTAATAAGGTACAAAATGAAATACTTTTCACTAGTGCTTCACTGGTTATCAGTAACCCATAAGCCTTGTTTTGCTGGCTGCTTACTGGTGCATTTAATAAAATAAAGATCACTCAGTGGTGCCGTGGGCAGCATGCAAGGTGATAGCCATATTTGCTTACTGTAAATACAAGAGAAAATCACACACAAACCGGCTGTAGTTTTGACAAGTATTAAGATCCCTCTTTACATCTGTACTTCTGTACCAAAGTGCAATTAGTTTTCCTCGCACAAGGATTTCTGTTTATCTTATTCTGCTTGATTACTTGAGTATAATCACACCATTTGCTTCATTGCTCCTGGTAGTAAGCTCCAGTTTTAAAAGGGGAGGATGCTTGTGTGTAAATTTACAGGATTCTGCTGTAAGACTCTTTGATTTATGTATCTAAGACAGTGTTTTTAAATTTTTGTTCTTTTAATTTTCTTTTCACAAGGTTTGATTCATATTCGGCAAATTCCTCGGCTTAATAACTTGATTTATGATGTATCCGATGTCAAAGACTTAGCTTTTAAATTAAAAAGGAAGCTATTCACCATTGAGGTAAGAGAGAATTTTTATATTTTAGTTCATGGTCTTGAGGTTAAATAGTCTATGCGTGTGTGTGTATATATATATATATGTCTGTGTGTACACATATATACATACACACATATATATGTATGTGTCTGTGTGTGTATATGTATGTATGTATGTATATATTTTTTACTTTAATGAAATTCTTAGAAAGTGTTTCCTGCTAATATTTTTATGTTCTTTTGGTGTAACAAAAAAATGTTAGACTATCTTATTTTTCCTCTTTTAATGGCATATCACTAGAGTATAGCAAAAATGACTTTGTTTTCAATATTGTTTGAAGTAAGCTCCAAACTTCTATGATAAGTATGGCATGTGTATTTCCAAGGCTTTCAAAACATATTTAATTAAATGTTAATGAGCTGTGCTTATTTGTGTGTGGAATGTGAATGCTACCCACAGTTGTGTATGACTAAGAAAAGAGGATTCTTACCTGTATTCTAAAAGCAGTTTTCTTTACTATTAATGAAATCACCTTTCCACTTTCCATGCTGAACAAAACAAAGTAAAATTTACACCAATGTCTTTATGTAAATTTTCTACAAAACTTAAACTTTTTTTGTGACCTTTATGCAAGCAATACTGACAGAAAGTAGTAGTATGAAAGATTTATTTCACCTTAATCTTGCTAAAGAGCAAATGAACATAGCACTATTAAGCAATTAGAGTTGATGTATTTATTAACGAAATAAATGCTCAGGGAGAGATGGCTTTTGGGTGATGTGATAGTTATCAGTATAGTCTGTGCAATTTTTTTTAACAAAGACATAAAACAGCCAAGCAGCCTTGACAAACCATTTTGTTTAATCTCTTTTCAAATGAAAAGCTCTTAAGCAGGCCACTTGTCTTAACTGCTTGAAACCATAAAAAGAGAGAATTGCCACCAATAAATTAGCATATTTTTAACTTCATCACCAAATGATGGTCAATGTGGCTTGGCACTGCTTTGGTGTTTGGGACTTCACCCTTAAGTGACCACTTTGGCCCTTTTTTGACCCTCTGCCCTCTTTAGCTGGCCACTTGATAAGGTAACTTAATGGTTCTCTCTCTTTTTCTCTTTCCCTTCACATTTGCAAGTAGCACTAACCTATAAATCATTGTAAGGGCCCTATCCAGTGACAAATTAATGTGCCCTCCTCCTAATTAATGGTCATCAATGTCCTTAATTATCTAATCCTATTGAGAGCAGTTAATAGTTAATCAGGCAGCCAGTTCTTCAAGCAGGCCATCTCTGCAGGAGTGTTAGAAGTTTCTCATCTGGGGATGCGCCCTTCAAAAGCCACTTAGAGCCAAGAGAACGAGAGTGTAGAAATACTGATTCTTGAGCTAATTTGCTTTAGTTCTCAAAAGAAACCATTGAAATGGAACCCAACACTGTAATTGTTCAAACTTTCTTTCAGTTTTTCTGATAGAATACTGAGAAATTTACCATTATTATTTACCAATATTCAGCAACATTTTGCTGAAAAATTTTAGAGGGATAAAGTTATAGCTAGTGTCACAAGGAAAGCATGCCTCATCATTTTCTTTTAAGTTGAATTTATATTTTTAATGAAAGATGTAAATTGTTTTTTTTTTTCCTCCATATGACATCTTTCTTCCAAGATGAGTATTCTGACAACCAGATCTAAGGTATCAGGTGTATCATCATACAAACTAAGCAAGCAGATTCCCTAGTGAAAAAAATATTTTACCTAGAGAAAAATGTAGCACTGTAGTGTGAATCATGTTCTCTCTGTCTCTATCTCTGTCTCTGTCTCTGTCTCTGTCTCTCCCACTTCCACTCCCTCTCCCTCTCCATCTCTGTCTCACACACACATATACAACACATACATGAACACACATTTGGTCTTATATTGGGGATGAAGGATAGAAATAGAAGACCTTAATAATGTCAAGTGGAACCTCTCCTTTGATAAATTTAGGTTCCAATAGTGACTACACTTTACCATTGGAGCTGATGTAAGATCTTTTATAAACCACATAGGTCTCTGTTCCACTTCCTCTCTTCTATTCCCAACATTCTAAACCAAGAACAATTAGAATTGATCACCCTGTGGTTTGGAAGCAATATTTGAAAACAAAACACAAATAGATTGTTGGTTTTTAAAAAGTTAATATTTAATACAGGTGATCAAATCCTTTACCTTTTTGACTTATAACCTAATCAATAAGGTATTTTTATACATAGAAAGGTAGGTAAAACACATTCCAAATAATTTATTTACTTATGCCGTAAAATTCAATTTGGTGATTAGAAAAAATATGAATTAAAGAATGAAACAAACCTAATAGATGCATATATAGATATAAGTATAATAGGATAAAATCATGTGGTTCATATAAGATTAAATAATTTAAATATAGCATTTTACCTTCTAAAATGCATTCTCAAACAGATAGCAAGTTTTTGGTGATATATTATAGAGATTGGAAGCAAGAGGATTCCTTTATTAAGGGAAAAATTATCTATCAAGTGATATTGTTTTCATATGTACAACAAATGGTTTTTTTAAAACTGCTCTGAAACTAAAAAAAATGAATAAAATGTATACTCTACTAGTCTGTAAAGTGTGAGACTATAATACAGCAGGCATTGAATCTGTGTTTTACTTTCAGAAGGGAAGCGTGGTTTAGCAGGTAAAGCAGAAATAAGTTTTCTGATTCCACACAGATAGATTTCTTACATGTTGGAATTTACTATGGTCACATGGTCTCAAAAGTTGGCATGGTTGAAAACAAGGGGCAAAAGAAATAGGAAAATGCCCTCTTCTCTATTTTAGGGTACCCTTTCTTTGATTTATTAAATGCCCATTTTATATATGAAAACTGATTTTTTTTTTTTTTGGCCTAACAGCCACCAAGGACCTCCCACAAGCAGAGCAATTTTAGCCAGCAGTCTTAAATTTCTTTGAATGATTTGGAAAAGGCAAAAGAATATTTCTTTCTTCTTAAATGTGTATTATTCAGACTCAAGTGGAAACATTCATCTAATCATAGTAAATTTTTACTAATAGTATTCATCAGCTATGAAACTCTATAAATTAGCCCCTCTACAAAAACCATAGCAGAATCACATCTATAGTAATGACACTAATATCCTGGCATGCATTCTGGGTAAGCAGAAGAGAAAATTTAAGGTTGATTAAGTATGACTTCAGGTTTAAAACAATAGCTTTCCAATTCTTTGAAAATTCATAATCCTTGTAAACTGTACATAACTCTCTAGCATATTTGATTAACCATGACATACTTCTTTCTTGGCCTTACCACATAACCTTTATTCAATCATAGTAAGATTTACTAACCCTTTATTGTATACCAGGACTTCTATTGGCTTATTTATACTTTCTATATAGTAATTAAACATTTTATAACGAAAGGTTTTACTATGAAACTGTCTTTTTCATCTTCATATCTATCCCAGAATTAAGCACAGAGCTGTACACTTAGCAGGTATAAAATCTTTGCTGAAATATATGTATAGAGATAAGTTGTGGCATTTGAAAAATTGTCCAAATAATACAGCTATAAATACTATATAAGCTCCATTGGTCAAGTGACCTATAAATACTACCTTCTCCATTAAGTTCTGTAAGAAATATAATTTGGGTGCAATAGCTTCACTTCTAAGCTGCAATAACTACTTAGACTTGTATTTTTTTTCAGTTTCTGTAATTTTTGCCTCTCTATTGTTGGGATGATCATTAACCAGTTGTTTTTTTCTTTATATTAGTAATTATGATGTAATTATAATTCCTAAACGAGTAAGATTTGGCCGAATTTGCAATTCATTGTGACTTCATTTTCATTTAATTTAATGACCTCATAACAGCAGCATTTTTACTTGCATTTAATAATATTTTGCTATTGTGATTTTCTGTAGTTCAGCTTGATCATATTTTAACACATTCTAATAATCTGATTTTCTAACATAAATAGTAATAGCATGTTATCACATTAGTTACAGTCTCTATATTAAAGTTATTACCAACAGAGTTTCTGCTTTGGTAATGGGACAGTTTTCCAGCTCTAAGATTCAGTGTTAATTTCAGGTCAGAAAGTATGATTACTGGGTTACACTGAAATATACAAAAGGCATACACCATTCACTGCAAATTTTCAAAATAAGGATAAACAATACTTACATAGCTTTAATTGGTCCAAAAATAGTAATTTTCATAAGTAGTATATTTATGTGAGTCTTGTACCCTGCATGAATATTAAGAGCCCAGAAAATTGAAGTAAATTAAGACAGTCTCAAGACTGTCTTTAATTTTTCCCCCAGTTCCAAATACAGGACTCCAATACCTCCCCAGTCATTAAGAACTTTTTCTCACAGAAGAATTGATTAACCAGTGTTTATTAAGTAACAACTATTTTTGATGCACTTACTTAGAAAATTCATTCTTTAAGTATTAACACCAAAATATTAGACGCCATAAGTATAAATTAGTTTTATATAGTATTATAATATATTTAATGTGATTCAGTAGAATTATTTGAAATTTTTACATATTGGAAAAACATAAACTCTTGCAAACTACAAGGATATCAGTCACTTTGACAATGCTGGACAATGTAGAGTTGCATGGTATCTTTGGTCCTGGGTTTCCTTACTTGCCAAATTTTGTATCAATAGGCTTTTCAGTTTTAAATGGGAAATAGAAAGGTGACTGTTCAGTATACCTAGAACTAAAGGGGAGAGATGGTTGACTTATTTGTCAGTTAACAATTATGTCACTAAAATAAAAAATGGAAACATAAATGTCTGCCTCAAGAGCATTAAGTTGTAGCATGATGAGCCATATAGTCCAATACGCCTTTTCTGATAATGATGCCCTCCACAAATATTGAAATGCTCAGTTCCCAGATAGATTGCAGTTAGCAAAAGAAAATCAAAGTGTAACATAGGCCTCTGTTCATATAGACCAAATCACTTATCAAAAGCAAATTCAAATGAGCAT